AGCAAGAAAGAAAGAAAGCAAGAAAGAAAGAAAGCAAGAAAGAAAGAAAGCAAGAAAGAAAGAAAGCAAGAAAGAAAGAAAGCAAGAAAGAAAGAAAGCAAGAAAGAAAGAAAGCAAGAAAGAAAGAAAGCAAGAAAGAAAGAAAGCAAGAAAGAAAGAAAGCAAGAAAGAAAGAAAGCAAGAAAGAAAGAAAGCAAGAAAGAAAGAAAGCAAGAAAGAAAGAAAGCAAGAAAGAAAGAAAGAAAGAAAAAGAAAGGAAGGAAGGAAGGGAGAAAGAAAAAAGAAGAAAGAAAGGAATAGAAGTGGTTTTGTTGTTATTCTATGTTTTTGTCACAGGGCGTGTGCACTCACCAGAGAAAGAGATAGAGAGACAGAGACAGATGCAGAGACAGAGACACAAAGAAAGGGAAAGTGAGCAATCACCCCACAGTGGGCACGGCCATGCCCCAGTCCCTTCTATCCCATTCTCCTTCTGGAATTTTGGGCACACACACGCACACACATGCCTGGCATGATTTTTAAGTCACCAGGTTCAGGATTCAAACCATGGTCAGTCATGTGAGAGTCTACCATCTTAACTACCACGCCAACTGCTGGCCCCAAGAAGAACTCTTTTGTACCTCGGAGTGCCTGCAATCAACGGGGTTAACCATGACAGAGTCACTGAATCACATAGTACTAGCGCAGGTTGAGGTCATCAAGGAATGCCATTGGGTCGCCAAGGGATGCCATTGGGTCGCCAAGGAAGTCATGATGTACTTTTGCATAGAAAAACAGAACACTACGTCATACTTTTCCAACGACTAAAACAGTGGCAGGTGAAATGTCCCTGAGGGACCAGGGATCTTCACAGCCCCAACTGAAACCCCAGGGGTTCCTCCTTGCCCAAAGGAAGACACCGTTGTACCATGGAAGCCATGGGTTGGCCCACTTCTTCCAAATGACCCGTGTGACCTCCTGACATCATTTTCGTCCCGTTCCACAACCCACACGGGGAAACGAGACCTTGAGGGGGAGCGACGGTGGATTGGAAAGAAACACAGACACGTGTGTAAGTAGAGAGAAGTGGGGATGGGGCGGTCTGGATGTCTCTGATGGAGCTGGGCACAGCCCTGAGCTGTCCCCATGTTTATTCTTTAATAGGGGGAAGGAGGAGGGAGAAGTGTCATGGAAAGGCTGAATGTTTTCTGTTACTGACTAAAGCTGTACAACACCGGGTGTTCTGCGCTTCTAAATAACCCTCCTTTTTCTCTTTTTTAAAGAGTTATTTTTATTTAACTTTTATTTATTTATTTATTTGATATGACCAGAGAGGGACAGAGCAAGAGAGAGAGAGGGAGAGAGAGAGGGAAAGTGAGAAAGCAAGCCACCAGGTCCAGGACTTGAACCGCGGTGGGCCATGTGGGAGTCCAGCGCCCTTAACCACACAGGTGATGGGCAAACACAAGCCTGTCATACAGAGGCACGTCCCTGGACTTGACCCAGGAAGACTCTCGTGTGGGGTCGGCTCGGTGGACGTTGCACTTCCCACGGCACCACCATCTGGTCCACACGCAGTCTTCTTCTCACAGCCGTTGAACCTGCCTGGCGTCACGCCCGGAATCTAGACCCATCTTCCGGAGTCCAGGTGAAAGAGCAGATGGCGCTGCATGGACACCCCGAAGAAGCAACGAAACGCATCGCGAAGACACAGCCTTTCGTGAGCACTCAGAGCTTTTCAAAAAGTCACTGTCAGGGACGCGGGTACTGTGGTGGCGAAGGTGCTGGACTCCCACATGGCTGACCATAGTTCAAATCCTGGACCTGGTGGCTTCCATTCTCATTTTCCCTCTCGGTCTCTGTCCCTCTCTCCCTTTCTTTCTCTCTCTGGATAATTTTTTAAAAAAATAATGATGATGGATACAATTAAATAATTCTTTTTAAAAAGCCCAGGAGCCAGCAGATCGTGTAGTGGTTACATCACTGGACTTCCACATGACTGACTGCAGTTCAAGTCCCAGACCCGGTGGCTTAAACTCACACCGGGTGCGTGTGCGTGCGTGCCCAAGATCCCGAGAGGAGAATGGAGGAGAAGGGATTGTGGCATGGCCATCCTCCCTGGGGGGTGATTTCTCACTTTCCCTCTCACTGTCTCTGTCTCTCTATCTCTCTAGTGATTTCATATGTCCTAAGGCAAGGCAAAAAGTCAACACCATGAAAATAATCATCAAAATAATAAATAGGTTCTAGACCAGCATGCTCTTTTTATACTTTGGATTCTTTATTTTTTTTCATTTTCAACTTCAAAAAAATGTTGTCATTGTACTCCTCGCAGCAGACAGCATGGTTTCCAAAGCATCGTGCGTTGCATGTCAATCAAGTCCGAGACACAACCATGCACATCCTGAACAGGTACCTCCTCATCCATGTGTCCCTCCAACTTGGTTTCCGGCATCCCTCTATCCTTCTCCCCAGGGTCCAACCCCTCCTGTACAGACTCTCCCATTCCAGAGACCTTTGCAAGACGGGCACTACCACCATGAAGGCTTAGATCCCTCTGGGGCGGGAGCGACCTGCTGCATGAGAGGACATTCACTGTCACCCTGGCCTCCATCCCCACAGAAGACAGGAGAAACCTCTCCACGGGTAACCATCCAGGGTAATCCACCCTGGCTGCGTGTGCGGTGGTCCCAAAGGGTCTCCCACACCCACGTGTTGGAAGTTCAGCCCACAATTTAACAGTCTAGCACGCTGGGGTCTTTGGGGAGGTGTCTAGGTCAGACAGTTTTGGTATTATAAAACAGTATGAGCCAGCCAGGTGGCACGGTGGTTAAGGCAGCTGGATTTTACACGGCCAAGTGCACAGTTCAAGTCCCGAACCTGGCAGCTTGGACAATACGCCAGGCACACGTGCGTGCGTGCCCAAAATCCCGAGAGGAGAATGGGGGAGAAGGGATTGCGATGTGGTCGTCTACTCTGAAGGGTGATTTCTCCCTTCCCTCCCTCTGTTTCACTCTCCAGAGAGTCCCTGTGCCCTAAGGCAAAAATCTGAAAAGAAAAAAAAGGACATTTTAAAAATCCATGTGATCATTTAACTTGATGGTAGGAAAAGGACAGAAACCTAGGGACCAGCAGTTGGCATAATGGCTATGTCGCTGGACTCCCATGTAGTCGACCACGGTTGGTGTCCCAGACTCGGTGGCTTCAACTCACGAGGGGCGCGTGTGCATGCGTGCCAAAGATCCCAAGAGGAGAATGGAGGAGAAGGGATTGTGGCATGGCCATCCCCCCTGGGGGGTGATTTCTCGCTGTCTCTCTGTCTCTCTCTGTCTGGAGAGCGCATGTGCCCTATAGCAAAAGAATAAAAAATAAAAAAACCTCTCCAAAAATAAAAAAAGACAGAAAGCTTGCTACCCTCCGCTGGGCGAGAAGTCTGAATCAGATTTTTCAGCACACATGCACGCATGCACAGAATGGAGACCACGCGGCAGTTTCGAACTTTCAACTCAACTGTGAGAGCGTTAATCCAAACGCGGTAAGAGGTTATGCACAGGGACGCACGGCAAGAGGCCACGGTGAATGTGCACCCGAGAGACTCGGCAGCAAGACTCGGCTTCCACTGGAACCAACAGCACCGCCCGTGTGTGCTGGGATGCCCTTACGGTGTCCCTCTGATGTCTGACTTCCGCCGCGCCCCAGCTCCATATGGCTGTGTGAAATGAACCCCTGAAACGTCCTATCGACACGCCAACGAACGCTACCGATTTCTGACCACCCAGATGTCACGAGAAAAACCCCTCGGCCGCCCTGGACTTGCAGAAGTGCCAATGCTGCCTTCTCTCCAGAGGGCCACACTGTTTCCAGTGGCATGAAACAGGAGCAAGCTTGTCCCCTGAATTAAAATGCCTTAGGACCACGTCCCCTGAATAGCTTTCCACCGGGTCTCCGACTCTGCTTGTCCACAGCAGGTGCCTGATCCATAAACCGCATGGACATTTGCAAACACTGCACCCCTCTCCACCACATCCCTTTTATTTTTTAAAGTAAGTTTTTACCATAGGGCACATGCGCCCGCTGGAGAGGCACAGAGACAGTGAGGGGGAAAGTGAGAAACCACTCCTGCCGTGGGGAGGGCCATGCTGCAATCCCTTCTCGTCCATTCTCCTCCCGGGATCTGGGCATGGACGTGCATGCAGCCAGCGTCATTTTTAAGCCACCAGGTCCGGGACTCGAACTGTGGTCGACCGTGTGGGAGTCCCGCGACGTAGCTGCTACGCCATCTCCTGGCCCCATGCACATTTTAAATGATCATCGTGAAGACCACGAACAGCCCTCCAGAGCAAGCCGTGGCACCTTGGGTGAATTCCTGTGGTCAGCAATGTGGCCGGGGGAGACTGATGGGGAAGGAAGCAGGAGGTCTCCTAAAACCGACAACGCTCCAGAACGGACAGGGCTGGCCTGGCTTTGGCACACTCCACGGCGCAGCAAGGTCCTGGGGAGAGACGTCATGAAACACAGCACCCCAAAGTGACCGAGAGTGACCCGCTGAGAAGCAAGTCCATCCTTAACCAGAGTATCCCCAGGTCGCAGGCTTGTGGGTGAGGCGTCGCCACCCACCCTGCCTTCTCGTAACCCACGAGTGAGCCAATTCGGGCGACGGGACGCCCGCCAAGCCAGCGACACCCTTCCTTCCAAATGGCCGGGCGTGTCCCAGAAAGGGCTCCCGTGCACGGCATTCGGGATTTCCAGCAGAGCGACCACGACTGTGGTCATGCATCAGCTAGGCGTTGCAGGGACCAAACCAAGGCGCCAATCAACTCATCTGACCCGCCACTCTGCAGACCCTGGAGGCACTGGGTGCAGAGCTTACTGTGTTATCCGCACGGGGACAGAGGGACGTGGATGGGAGGACAGAGGGACGCGGACGGGAGGTCTGACGTCGAGGAGGAGGGGCTGGGCGCACCCCTGCAAGGCAGCGTTTCAGAGGTCCCCTGAGCCAGCGCAGAGACCGAGGCCAAGGGTGGATCCAGCACACGTTTAATCCTGAATGGTTTGGAAGAGGCGACCTCCTGGGAGGGCCGAGTCGCCATGGTGACTGGCATGGCAGCAGGGTGCGGGCGGGAGGGGTGAAGCTGGGCGTGTACCAGCGGCGTGGCAGGCACTGAGGCATGGGCCGGCGAGCCGTCAGTAGAGGCACATGGGTATAGGCGTGTCTTTTCAGGAGGTCTAGAGAGAGCCCCAGGGCAGGAGCCCACGACACGGTCCCATCCGACCGCGTCCGGCACGGCGTCCCCCCGGGGTCACTGCAGAAAGCGGTCCAGCTTCTCCTGAATGCGGGCAAAGGCGTCCTTGCCCAGGTAGTCGATGCGCCCTTCTTCCCACTTCCGCCTCTCCTCCTCCGGGCTGACCTCCTTGATTTTTTCTTCGATGGAAATCTCGGACATTGAGATGGCCAGGTCCACCTGAGGGAGCAAGCCAAACGGAGAGGGTTTTCAGAGCTCTCTGTGTGCAAGCCAGACATGGGGATAGGAGCCAGCAGCTGGTGCAGCCATGAAGGTGCTCCCATGGCCACGGTTTGAGTCCCAGACCCGGCACTTTGAAAATCAGGCCGGGCGCATGTGCGTGCGTGCTTAAGATCCCAGGAGCAGAATGGAGGAGAAGGGATTGCAGCGTGGCCATTCTCCCCGGGGGGTGGTTTCTCGCTTTCTATCTCTCTGTCTCTGTCTCTCCAGTGAGTGCATGCGCCCTGTAGCAAAAATCTCTGTAAAACAAAGAAAGATGGGGATAAATCCATGCAACTCACCCAGCAGTGATGGAAAACCAGTAGCTTGTCCGTTGAAGAGTCTTAGAAAAAGGTGCTTTTGGGGCCGTGGCTTTTGAAAGTTTCTAAAATGTATTCTGTCATGAATGTGTGTTCTGTAAGGAGGGTTTTGCTTTCCGGCCACTGAACCACTCTACACACTGCTCTGCTGTGACACATCCTCCTGTCAAACCCTCTCTGTTTTCTATCATAATAAATAACCAAACTGTTCGATAGACAAAAAAGCAATTAAAATTATTTTTATCTAATTTTAGCTATTTATTTACTTCTTTTAAAGTGACCAGAGATGGGAGAAAGAGAGAGAGAGAGAGAAAGAGAGAAAGCCAGCCGCCAGGTCCAGGACTTGAACCACGGTCAGCCATACGGGAGTCCAGTGCCCTTAACCACCACGCCACCTGCCGGCCTCAAATATAGAACATTTTTTCCTCAGATAAATAATGCCTATAACAGGGACCAGCAGGTGGCGTGGTGGTTAAGGCGCTGGACTCCCACCTGGCCAACTGCAGTTAAGAGTCCCAGACCTGGTGGCTTGCTTTCTCATTTTCCCTCTCTGTCTCTGTCTCTCTCTCTCAAAGTAAAAAATAAATAAATGAAGTTAAACAAAATAATTGTTTAAAAAATGCCTATAATATTTTAAATTGCTCTTCAAGGTTATTTATTTATTTTGGGGGGAGAGGTTTTTGCTAGAGGGCGTGTGCACTCACCAGAAAGACAGAGCAGGGAGAAACAGAAATACAGAAAGCGAGAAATCACCCTCCAGGGGGGATGGCCATGCCGCAATCCCTTCTCCTCCATTCTCCTCTCAGGATTTGGGGCATGCATGCACACATGCCTGGCGTGAGTTTAAGCCACCAGGTCCGGGACTCGAACCACAGTCAACTACATGGGAGTCCAGAGACATAGCCAGTATGCCATCTGCTGGTCCCAAGGTTATTTAAATTATCATTGAAATAATTTTCTTGGGCCAGCCTGTGACCTGGTGCTTAAATCGGCTGGAACCCATGTTCCAATTGTAGACTCAGCGGTTTGAGAAATATGCCGTGTGAGTGTGTGTGTGTGTATGTGTGTCCAAAATCCCAAAAGGGGGGAGAAATGGAGGACAAGAAATTGCATTGTGACCACATGTGAGTCTCACTTTTATCTTGTACCCTGGTGGGTTAACAAAAAAATAAACGTAAACATTTTGTTTTTAAATCCTTTTTTTTTTTTTGAGACAAGATTTGGGAATGTCGCCCAAGCGGGCCTGGAACTCACAATCCCATGGCCTCAGCTTCCTCACATCTGCATTTAAAAACGTTTTATGTGGGTCAGCAGGTGCTGAGGTAGTTGAGGCACTGCACTCCCACATGGCAAACCGCAGTTCAAGTCCCAGACCTGGCGGCTTGCTTTCTCTCACTTTCCCTCTCTCTGGTGAGCACACAGGCCCTATAGCAAATGAAAAATAACAAAGAAAATTAAATAAGTAATTACGCAAGTAAATAAATAAAAATAAAAACATCTTACTGAGCAGTTTCTAAAAAGATTTTTAAAAGTTTTCCTGTGGGGACAGCAGGTGGCTTGGCGGTTAAGGCATGGACTCCCACATAACCAACAGAAGTTTGAATCCTGGATGCGGCAACTTCCTTCTCATTTTCCTCTCTCTCTCTCTCTCTCTCTCTCTCTCTGTTCAAGTTGAATAATACTAATAAATAGGGACCAGCCGCTCGCATCATGATCATGGTAACATCACTGGATTCCCATGTGATCAGCTGCAGTTCAAGTCCCGGACCCGGTGGCTTGAAACACACCAGGTGCATGTGCGTGCGTGCCCAGAATCCCAAGAGGAGAATGGCGGAGATGAGATGGTGGCGTGGTCATCACCCTTAAAATGATTTCTTGCTTTCTGTCTCTGTCTCTCCACAAAGTGCATGCCCTATAGCAAAAAATCTCTCTCTTAAAAAAAAAAGAAAGAAAATTAAATAAATAATTCTTTTTTAAAAAAATATTTTAAAACTTTATTTATTTATTTGTTTATTTATTTATATTTGACCAGAGAGGGACAGAGTGAGAGAGAGAAAGGGAAAGTGAGAAAGCAAGCCGCCAGGTCCAGGACTTGAACTGTAGTCAGCCATGTGGGAGTCCAGCACCCTTAACCACCGCACCACCTGCCAACCCCAAATAAATAATTCTTTAAGAAAAAGTTTTCCTGTTACAACATTAGAGACACACAATCTATTGTCTAGTTATTCATTCATCTTCCTTAACAGATAATGTACAGAGAGAGGTGATGAATAGACAGACGGGTGGAGAGACAGAGAGAGAGAGAGAGACATGGATGGAGACAAAGAGACAGAGACAAGAACTTCGACAGAGTTACTTTCCAGATGCGGCGTGAGCTGTTGGCATCAGACGGTTTTGGGGCCACTAGGCATCCACTACCTTAAGGTTTGATATAATAAGGTTTTGCTTTCCACACTCATTAGACTTTATCCAAATATATAGAAATGAATAGCCACCTTGTTTATCAAAGAAATAGCAACAGTTAAAAAACAAATTTTAAAGAACAATAGAGAGAAAGAAAAAAGAAAGCAGAAAAAAAAAATCAATTCCAGGGTACCCAAACATTTCTCCCCTTCTAAGGGCACTTGGGCTTAGGCTCATTAAGTTCATGAAAATTAAAAATTTTCTGGAATTAGGGACCAGCAGGTGGCGTAATGGCTATGTCGCTGGACTCCCATGTAGTTGACTGCAGTTTAAGTCCTGGACCCGGTGGCTTAAACTCACGCCGGGTGCGTGTGCATGTGTGCCCAAGATCCCGAGAGGAGAATGGAGGAGAAGGGATTGCAGCATGGCCATCCCCCCTGGGGGGAGGGTGATTTCTTGCTTTCTATCTCTCTGTCTCTCTATATCTTTATGGTGAGCGCACGTGCCCTACGGCAAAAATCTCTCAAAAAGAAAAAAAATATTTTCTGGAATGAATAGGACGTACAACACCCCACCGCCCATGAGGGGACTTCAGAAAGTCTGTGGGAAAATGGAATTGAAGTAGATGTTGATTTTGGTGCCAAAGAGAATCTGAAATCCTTGCGTACTTCCTTTGCTTAAACTCTTTGGAGGTTCCTTAAACAAAATAGCACATTGATCGTAGCCTTCCTGTTCAGAAGAAGGGAGAGATACCCGAGAGCATTAACACATCTTCGATTTTAAACAGAAGGGCACTACACAGGACACTAAGTCAGCTCCTCTCTAGGACCCTGGGGACACAGCGGAGCAGGCTGTCCAAGTGCCCTGTGTAGTGGATGCATGGCGGACCGACTGCTATTCTTTCTTCCTCTTTCTGCTCTCTCTTTTTTTTTTTCTAAATTTCTACCCGAGGGCATGTGCTCTCACCAGAGATGCAGAGAGAGAGAGAGAGAGAGAGAGCACACTCCATGGGGCATGACCATTCAATTCCTTCTTCTCCACTTCCCCCTTCCTTTGGGGGTTCTGGAAACACCCACACACCCACACATGCACCTTGCACGTCACAATCAAATCCAGGACTCCAACAGTCCAGTCGGCCACGTGGGGTCCAGCTGACCATAACCACCAAGTCCCAGACTGTCCTCAGCCTGCTGGTCTTTCTAAGCTGGACACTAAGTAGGGTTCCTCAGACTGCTCTCCGCTTAATCCCCTCAACGCTCTCCGAGCGAGGTAATGCACCCTGCATCTCACGGAGTCTCAAAGAAGGAAATGAACTCACGCAGGGCCCCAAACCTACCACATGGCCAAGCTGTCCAAGGCTGCCCTGCCCGAGGGCACACTCACACCAGCCACCCGTCAGTAACCACAGATGCAACTCACAGACCCTCGAGGCATCACGCAGCGGATGGACATGCTGAAAAAGCAAACTCGCATCCAACTCGTGACAAAAGGAATTTGTTGTCACCACCTACAACGCAGGCAATAAAGTTGAAGTCTTTCCCTTGACCTTAAAACACTCTCATCTGGGACCAGCAGACAGCGTAAGGGTTACATGGCTGGACTCCCATGTAATTGACCGTGGTTCAAGTCCTGGTCCCAGCAGCTTAAAACCCACACCGGGCAAGTTTGTGTGTGTGCACCCAAAGCCTCAAGAGAATGGAGGGGAAGGGATTGTGGCATGGCCATCTGCCCTGGCAGGGGTTTCTCATTTTCAGTCTCTCCAGTGAGCACATGCACCAGACAGCAAAAATCTCTCTCAAAAACAAAACAAAACAAAACACCCACATTTTCTCCAATGGAGACCTCTGGTAAAGTCATTTAGCAGATTATATTTTGAAATATAGAAGATTATATTTTTCTTTTTTTAAAAAAAATGATTTATTTAATTTTACTTATTTATTATTATTTTAATTTGACCAGACAGAAAGAGTGAGAAGGAGAAAGTGGGAAAGCAAGCCACCAGGTCCAGAACTCGAACCGCAGTCGGCCATGTTGGAGTCCAATACCTTAACCACCCCGCCACCTGCTGGCCCTGATTATATGTGAAGTTCATGTTTAAAACTACCTCTCTTCCTGGCCCCAATGCCCAGCTCTAGAGCTGTCGTGACTATGACTTACAGATCAAAATGTGCTGTTAAATATTCTCAGAGAAACAGAAAACACACGTGCTTTGAGTCAATGCACCGAGGGAAAGAAAGAAGTTGAAGGCGAGAATGTCCGAAAGCGGATGGGGACAGGAGGGGCAGGTGCGTCGTTTCACTGTTAACGCAGAAGAAGCTGTTGCATGCTCTGTTTGGACCCCAATATTTGCCATCGCCCCCAATGTCCTAGCTTTTATTCTCTTTATTTTAGGAAGCGGATCATGGCACTTGTTTTCCTAGCCCTTCAACTCCCCTTCAATCACTGTGAGCAGAAGAACTTTCAAAGAGGGAACGGCAGGGTGACCAGAGCTGGAGTCAGAGGACAGCGGACCAGCCACCGAGGTGAATGGCAGAGAGCAGACGATGGATGGCAGGCCCTGGAGAGGCAGGCAGGCAGGCTCCTAGTCACCCAGATGGGGCAAAGTGGGTTGGTTAGTGGGGGTGCTCGCATGCAGCCGAGCCCAGTGATGGCTAAGAGCGGCCATCAGGAGAGCTGGACAAGGCAGAGGGTTCAGATCCCACCTCCAGCGCATCCTGGGGGCCAGGTCCCCTGATGACCTCAACAAGGGGCTCCTGGCGTGGCTCCAAGGTGTCTTCAGGTGGGCTACTTTCGGCTTTATGCGTTGGCTGCTAGAAACATAACCATTCCATCGTTAGTCTGCAGTGGGCTACAGAGAATCAGTCTTAACCTAAATGACAGAGCTCTTTTTTATTTTTTTAAGATGTTTATTTTTTGGGACCAGCAGTTGTTGTAATGGCTATGTTGTTGGACTCCCACGTAGTCGAACATGGTTCGAGTCCCAGACCCGGTGGCTTAAACTCACACTGGGCACGTGTGCGTGCATGCCCAAGATCTAGAGAGGAGAATGGAGGAGAAGGGATCGCGGTGTGGCCATCCACCCTGGGGGGCGATTTCTTGCTTTCTGTATCTCTATCTTCCTAGGGAGCACAAGCGCCCTATAGTAAAAACCTCTCTAAAAAAATTAATTAATTTTAAAAAGTGGTTTTTTTAAAACAATTATTTAATTTAATTTAATTTATTTATTCATTTATTTTTAATTTGAAATGAGAGGTGCTGGCCCCAGAGAGCTTGTTATGGGGGAAAAAGAGATTACAGTAACCCCCGATACTAGATGACCTTTCCTGGGATGGCTGAAAAAGCTGAGAGTCACCATTTCTTCCTTTCCCTGAGCCACCCACCTGCTCTTGTCCAGGAGGGTGTGCTGCAAGCTTTTAGGCAAGCTGTCAGCACTAACCTTCCCACAGAGGGACCTGACTGGTTTGTACCCAGCAGCTATGGGGGCACTTCCCTAAGACGGTCTCACACCGAGAGTCAGGAAAGGCTGTCTGCGAAGTCAGTCTATGACGACCTGTGGTCATGGGCACCTAGGTTCCGGAGGGTACATTCAGCAGAAGGAAAAACTAGAATATTCTTGGGACCACAGGGGATATAGTGATTGAGGCACTGGACTCCCATGTAGCCAACCACGTTTCGAGTCCTAGATCCATCAGCTTGAAACTCAGACCGGGTGTGTGCCCAAAATTATAGGAGGAGAATGGAGAAGGGAGTGCAGTATGGGCATCCCCCTCAGAAATGATTTCTCGCTTTCTGTCTCTCAGTCTTGCTCTGTCTTTCTGGCAAGTGCACATGCCCTATAACAAAAATCTCTCTGTCTAGAAACAACAATAAAAGACAAAAAAAATTATATATCCATTCTCCATCAATACTGACTTAGACACTGGGGTAAGTCCTACCAAAAATATTTTTAAATAGTTATTTATTTAATTTTATTTATTACTCATCTTTTTGTCTTTCTCTTTTAGAGTGACTTTTGCTATCGGGGTACTATTATTATTATTATTTTAATTTACTATAGGGCACATGTGCTCACTAGAGAGAGAGAGGGAAAGTGAGAAAGTAAGCTGCCAGGTCTGGGACTTGAACCAGGTTGGCCATGTGGGAGTATAGGGCCTCAACTTCTACACCACCTGCTGGCCCCTACTACCAAAAAATGTAAAAATTAAAACATATATGCTCTGTTGTATCTTTTTCGTTTTTCTTTTTCTAGTTCTTCCTAAAGCAAGGTGTATGAGACTAACCAAATGACAGAAAGGAAATACAGGGATGATGGGGGAGAAAGAAGTCTGAATAGACAACCAGATGCTTCCTCTTCCAGGATAAGAGAGAAACAGATGAATTACAATATAACTGAGTCCAGGCTGATGGACCTCATAAAGCGCCAAGGAGGAATTTTAGAAAGCATGCTGGCAGGGTGGTTAAGGTCCTGGACTCCCACATGGTCAACTATGGTTCAAGTCCCAGACCCGGAAGCTTGAAAACCACACCAGGCATGTGGGCATGCATGCCCAAACTCCCAGGAGGAGAATGGGGGAGAAGGGACAGTGGTGTGACTATCTCCTGTAGGGGTAAGTTCTCACTTTCCCTCTCTCTGTCTCTCTCCAGCAAACAAGCGTGCCCTATGGCCAACACCTTAAAAAAAAACGGCATCATGTGTGGTATTTAGAGGGCATAGACATTCTGACAGCATCACAGGCAATGACAGATATGAAGTGTAACAGGTGCAAACGTGGTATACCAAGGTGCATTGGATGTCTGGGGACTCTGCAATCGGAGGGGAGGAGCGCAACAGCAGACCATGCACGATTCCGGCGGAAGTCTCAGTGTCAGGGCAACCTATTACCTGGCACAGAGAGAGAGAGCAAAAAGCAAGTTAGGACAAGCCTTCAGGCCAATGAACGCAGCTTCACCTCAAGCACCTGTGATTTCTGTGTCCACGGTGCAGGTGCAATGCAGCTTGACGATGAGGTGTGTGGTAGAGGTGACAAGCCCGGGAACCTGCTTTCCATGAACTTTCATCCTCACAAGATTGACCTTAGAGACCTCTCCTCTTTTTCCTCTTCTGCTCCTCTCTCTTCCATCTTCTTTCTTTTCTTTTTAAAATGTATTATGATTATGATTTTTCATGCATTCAATTGCTATACATCATTTAGCTTGTAAGGAGAATTTACCCTACATGAAATATACCTCAGACCAGTCTAGCTGAGAAGACTATATTTGGTATCAACAGACAGTAAATGATTTCTGCATCCCTCCATCTTCTTCCTTTCTCTTTCTTCTTCTCCTTTTCCTTCCTCTTCTTCTTCCTTTCTTCTTCTCTTCCTTCTTCACCTTCTCCTTTCTTCTCTTCTTTTTTCTTTCCTTCTTCTCCTCCTTTCTCCTTCTTGTTTTTCTCCTTCTTTTTCTTTCTTTGTTTCTCCTCCTTCTGTTTTTTTCTTTCTCTTTTCTTCTCCTTCTCCTCCTCCCCCTCCTTCTCACTCCCAACTCCATCCCACAGTTTGCCGACAACTAGGGTACAGCCGTGCAACTCTCACCTGCTAATGCGCACTGAGCACATATGCCGTGACTTACCCTCAGGCTAGGCAGTGAGGGGGCACAGTGCCTTTCCTTCTTTTTCTTTGGCCAAGAGGATGAAGAAGAAGATTCCTTCCACCCCATTACAACTGAGGTTCCACCAGAAAGTGAAAACCTTCAGAAAAGAGTTCTTTATTCAGCCCCCTCAAAGATGATGTATAGCTCACCCCATTCTACATGAAGAGTTAGTACTCTCTGCACAACACCTGCCTTAAAAAGGAGGCTTTCCCTCCTCTTAACGAGTCACATGGTAGAAGGGCTGCCCTAGAAGAAGGTGGAGAACAATGGGAGGACCCTGGTTCACTAAATGACCGCATAGACCAGAGGATACCTTTGCCATCCTGGCTCGTTTCAACACAAACAAGAAATCAACTTTGATGTGTTTGGGGGATGTTTGTTACAGCATCCAACCTTCCCTGACAAATACATGGTCAGTGAGCAAGCCTGTGCCCACAAACAGGGATTTTTAACAGCTCCCAAAGCTCCTGCAGCCGACGGAATGAGTGTGGACAACAGAGACAGGAGAATATATTGAAATCCAGTGGAATTCCACTGCAAACACGGTGCAGAATCTATGGGGACGGGTAGGACTGGACCTCAAAGTGAACTCCTTTTTCCTGGGCCAAGAAGACTTCAGAAATTTCTAATCCTGAAAACATATTTCCAGGTAAGTCCAAGAGATTTAGAGGGGGTTGACCTGGAATGATGACCAGAAACTCAGATAGCACGCTCTGCAAACACGCTGCAGGATCTGTGGGAATGGGCAGGAACAGACTTCAAAGTGGGCTCCTTCTTCCTTGGTCAGGCAGATGTAAGAAAGCCCTAATCGTGCAGACACATACTCCCAGACAATTTTCAAGAGATTTTGAGGGGGTCAGCCTGGAGTGAAGATCAATAACTTGGAGACCCAGCTCTCAAACTTCTGATCTTAGCCTCAGAAAATTCAGTTTATTCTTGTACTAACTTAGGCATGGAGTTTGCATGGGACAGATAGTTATGGAGACATGGGTAGTGAAGAGGGAAGACAGGGCTACACAGCCTTGGTCTGCTCCCTCGAGAAGTGGACTGTCAAAAGAGAGAAGCAAACATTTAATAAATCATGAATGCCAAACGGTTAGCCTTGAGAAAGTCTAGGGAAGAGCAGGATGGAGAATTGTCCATCTTTCTTTCTTTTTGAGAGATTTTTGCTATAGGGCTCACCAGACAGAAGGAGAAAAAGCAAGAAAAAGCAAGGGGGGATGGCCATGCCACAATCCCTTCTCCTCCATTCTCCTCTCGGTATCTTGGGCACACACGTACACACGCCCGGTGTGAGTTTAAGCCACCGGGTCCAGGACTCGAACTGCGGTCGACTACATGGGAGTCCAGCGACATAGCCATCATGCCAACTGCCTGTCCCTAAAAACCATAATTTAAATATGTTATTCGCAGATATTTTCAACAGTTTATGGAAACGTGGAATTAAGATATCAGTGTTTTGGTGCAAATAACTAAAAGCTATGCACAGCATTTTCATAGTACTCGTTTCTCATGAACTTGTGAACACCTCTCAGGAGAGCTGAGCACAAAAAGCTAGGGACCAGCAGATGGCGTCATGCTTCCATGGCCGGACTCCTACGGATTCGACCTGGCATCTTAAAACTCACGCCAGGGTGTGTGCGTGTGCGTGCGTGCCCAAGATCCCGAGAGGAGGATGGAGGAGAAAGGATTATGGCATGGCCATCCCCCCTGGCGGGGGATTCCTCACTTCCTGTCTCTCTGTCTCTCTCTGTCTGTCTGGCGAGTGCACGCGCCCTATAACAAAATCTCTCTTTAAAAGAAAGCAAGGTGGTTTCTAGGGAGTGAGGGGAGGAGAAGGATGGGTGTTGATCAGGAACTTTTGGTTATGTGAAGGGGATACATTCGGACATCTGACAGGCACCATGACAGGGCAGACGGTAGGGTTGACACAGCTTTGTACGTTCAGCATTAGCTGAAAAGGCGGTTCTTCAATGTTTTCCCTAATGGGAAGAAAGGAAGAGGAGAAGGAAGAGGAGGAGGAAGAGGAGAAGGAGAAACGGGAAAGGAAAAGGAGGAGGAGGAGAAGAGAAAGAGGAAAAGTGGCAACACAGTGAGTTGAATATGTCCATTCAGGGCAATGATTATTTCACCGCGACATCAAGCCATACGATCTTACATATAAACCAGATTTTCTCTGTCAATGATATCCCCGATAGAGCTGGAGGAAAAAAAGAAAAAAAGAAAAAGAAAAAAGAAAGGAGCTCTTTCATCCTGACCTCGAGAGTGTATGGAAAAATGCAAAATTAGAGCCAGCAGGTGTCATTGTGGTGAAGGCACCAGACACACCCGACCGCAGTTTGAGTCCCGGATCCTACAGTTTGACGCTCACACTGGGCGTGTGTGTGTGTGCGTGCCCAAATCCCAGGAGGACAATGGAGGAGAAGGGATTGCAGTGTGGCCATCTGCCCTGGGGAGTGATTTCTCACTTTCCCTCTCTCTGTCTGCCCATGACATGCATCCTACAGCAAAAGCCTTAAAATAAAAACAAAATGCAAAAGTAAAGCTCACATTCTGACAATTACGGGGGGCCTGGGTGAGGGGGCAGGAGGAAAACGGGATTCTGTGCACGGCGGACACACACAGGAACATCCCAAGTTCGCATCCAGAGGCCTCCCTCAGAGCCCCGGACACATGCATGCCCGTGAGCCAGGGCAGGCAGAGGCTGGGAGTAGACTGTGGCCTCAAGACCCCACTGGGGGTGCTGTGTCTCTGTCTCTCTGTTCTCTTTACATCTCTCCGGCTCACAGAAGACAGAAATAACCTTACAGAAAAAAAGCAGAGACATTATAAAGCTGTCAAGGACATGGAAGAGGGTGATAATCACAGCTTATTTTACGAGACACTTCTCGCCGCCGGCTCCTGAGCGGCTGTCCTAATCTGCTCACGCCTATCCCTTCTAATCCTCACGGCTGCACGGCGGAGACGTTTGATCCCACCTTTCACCGGCGAGAGAACTTTAATTCGAGAGCAGACTTAGCATCCAGCGTCCAGAGCCAGCGAGACAGAAACCGGGCTCAGAGGCCAACATGTGCCTCTTGGACAGCCAGGTCTTGCTCCTTAGCCCTCGGTGAGGGTTACTCTTTTGTTTTGTTTTGTTTTGTTTTTCTTTAGAATGATTTATTACGATTATTTTTAAAGTTTGCTATAGGACCCATGTACTCACCAGAGTAAGAGACAGAGACAGAGAGAGAAAGGGAAAGTGAGAAAGCAAGCTACCAGGGCTGGGACTTGAACCGCCATTGCCCATGTGGGAGTCCAGTGCCTTAACTGCCATGCCACCTGCCTGCATCCCAGTGGCCAAAGAAACATGAAAAAGATTCTTGAAAAAACGATGATGAAGGTGAGGGGCCAGACAGTGACACAGTGGTAAAACAGAAAGCTCTGGGACTAGCGGTCGGCGTGACGGTGAAAGAACTTAGATTACACACGGCTGGCTGAACAGTTCTAGTCCCGGACCCAGCAGCTTAAGAATCACACCAGAGACGTGTGCATACCTGGTCAAAATTCTGAGAGGAATTTTCTCACGTAAGTCTAGTTGCATTATCACTGTCCCATGGCCTGGTGAAGTCTGTTTCTTTTTCTTTCTCTTGCTTTTTCTTTCTTTTCTTATTTTTAATTGTAAGGTTTTTGCCATAGAGCATGACCACTTTCCAGAGAGATAGAAACTGAGAGACAGAAAGGGAGAAATCACCCCCCCAGGGAGGGATGGCCACACCGCAATCCCTTTTCCTCCATTCTCCTCTCGGGATCTTGGGCATGCATGCACAGGCGCCCAGCGTGAGTTTAAGCCACCAGGTCCGGGATGCGAACCGCGGTCGACTACATGGGAGTGCAGCGACATAGCCATGATGCCACCTGCTGGTCCCAGCGTGTTTATTTTTATCCTCAGGTCATAACCGTCTCCCTGACTCATCCCCTGACACGGTGCTGGGGGACCAGGTCACCTTGAAAGAGGAGACTGTGGAGCCGGAGATTGCCCAGACGAGGGTCTGAGCTCAGAGGAGAGGGAGCCTGGGGTAGGCAGAGACGCTTACAGAAAGAGAAAAGCCAGACTCTGAGGGCTCTCAGGTACAAGGCCCCGGCAGATCCACACGGAGCACATGGACATGCAGCCGTCCTTCCCACTCCGGGCCGTCACCTCCTGAGAGCCACTCCCGCCCGCACTGATGGAAGCTGAAAGCATAGATCTACAAACCAGCTCGCGAGTGGAAAAGGGATTTCTGC